AACATATAAGTTCTATTTTTTAGCTTGTACTAGATGAAATTTTAGGTTGGAACTCATGACATGATGAAAAAAAAAGGTGTGGCTAGTTTAATATTTGCATTTGATAATTCATTTTCAAGATATTTTATTCAATCACTAATGTTTGTTTCCACTTCAACAAATTTGTAATTATAGCCTCTCTGCTCTTCTTTGATGGCCCTCTTGATTTCTTCGAACTTGTTATTGTAAACTGTCAATCTTTTCTTTAATCAGAGTTTTGATTTTAATTCTTCTTTAAATAGTACAGTCGATCCCTGAGTTGCGGGGGGGATTCATTCCTGAAAAAGGCCATGTAATTTGAAACCATGTAATTCAAGGCATGTAAAATAGGGGACAGGGACCTGGGACCAAGATTTTATAACCTTATTTGATAACAAAAGGATATATAAGCACAAAATAATGAAATTAATAGCCTTAATAAATCATTTGCTCGCAAATTACTTGACGAACTTAAAAATTAAGAAGTCCTTTTATTCCTACAAATTACAGAACAAATTATTGTCTGATGGAAGATCATCTGGCTGCACTGGGTTATCTGGCTCCTCCTCTTTAATACAATATAATAATAATCCAGGAAAATGATTAGGGAAGGAGAAGACTTTTGCAAAGGTAGGGTTAAAGAGGGACAGTTAAGGTAAGGTAAATGCGTCTAGCTAAAAGGTGAGACATGAAAATAAGGGGAGAATTAAGGGAAGGGTTGATAGAGTTTGGTAGTTATTTAAAAGTAAATCTTTCGTTTAAACCACAAGGGGACTTAGTGTTAAGTTGTAAGATGAGATGATGATCAAGGCTTTCTGGTTTTAGGTTGTTGAATGGCACATTTCTCATGACTGAGACTAACATGTCAACATCTTTTTTTTCGGTTCTTTCTAGTCTAATTCCATTGTAACATGGTTTACATTGCCTAATAAAAAACATCTGCCCAAAATGTTGCATCAATAAACAAAAATATATATAATTTATAGTTGCCAATTTTTCTTTATTTCCATTTGCCCATGTTTTTTTATCACATCTTGCGGAATAACACTCGTTCAAGACTAAATCAACGGCTGCTCCACCACGTAAATGTGAGGCAGGGTATCGCGTGAGTTGAAATAGAGGTCACATTGTATAAATGATTCAATGTAGCTTGAACTCATGTAATTGGGAATGCGACTATATTAATAAATACACGTAATATTATTAATTATTTCATTTTATTTGCATTGCTTTTTATTTTAACTGCATGAACCTCTCCATTTCCTGTGAATTTTGGTTTGAAGTGCTTTTTAAGGTCAGTTGCATTTTATTCAAAATTCATAACCTAAAACTAGCACAACTGCTAAAATGTTTATCCATACTGCATTAGATGTTTATTTATTTGTTTATTTTTGAATTTTCGCGCAAAGCTACACGAGGGCTATCTGCGC